AACCCCTAAACCCTAAACCCCATTAGAGTATCGCTGCGGCCTTACCGAGAAGTCTGCAGTCTTGCACAACTTGGCCTGGGGTTTCTCAAGGCTTAAGGGGTCATGCCACATAACTTGTCAAGGCTCTGAGGACTCATATGTTTGAGCCTTTGAGACCGAAGGTCATACGGTATGGGGAAAACATCCCCAAATCATCATAGTAATTCCTAATCTAGAAACCCTACACTCTACTACATAGCTACTTAGGACCCTTTGGGAAATCCACCCGAAACCCTAAACCACAAACCACCAACCATAAATCCCAACCCCACACCCTGAAGGCATAGACAACCCTACAACACCTCATATACTCATACATATATATATATATATATGTATATATGGATATGTATAATATATATATATATATAGAGAGAGAGAGAGAGAGCGAGAGAGTCGCACTTACTGCTTATAATGTTTTACGATTACGTACTAACCATATTTTGCAGTACCGGGCACCCAGATGGAAACTATATCCGAAAATGTTCGAAAGAACCTAAAGCCCTCGACCCTAAACCCTAAACCCTAAAGCCCTCAACCTCCCAAACTACCCAACAGCAGAAGCAGATGGTTGCGCCTCCACCGGCTGGAGCTCTGCATATTGCAGAGCCTTTGCAGAATAGCGACAGTAGTGGGTCAGGGTTTAGGGTTCAGGGTTCAGGGTTTAGGGTTTAGGGTCACATGAGCTCTAAACCACCAAACCTGGGCCCCCTGAAAACGCTTAGAGCAGTCTAGCGGCCTTTAAACCCTAAACCCTAAACCCTAAACCCTAAACCCTAAACTTTAAACACGACGTCTCACGTTTGAGAAGACAAGAAACCTTTTCGGGCATGCTAGGGCTAGGGGCCTTCAACAACAAGGGTCTGAAAGTTCAAGTCTCCAGTCATGGTATACCTGTGGATCCAAAAACCTACCGTTTTAAGGGTTAGACCCTCTAATCAAGGGGTCATAACCTACTATTTTGTAGGGTTTGGGGATACAGGTACCAAACACCCAAACCCTAAATCCTGCTCAGCATAGTTCGAGATTTGCCAGGCGGCTGCGGTACCTGCGACTTTGGAGGGTCTGGGGCTACATGCAACTCACAGACTGCAGGCGCTGCATCGACATGAAACTCCTCAACCCTGCACACCTAAACCCTAAACCCCTCAAACACCTCAACCATAAACCCCTCAACCACCTAAACCCTGAACCCCTAACCCCAAACCCATCAACCACCTCAACCACCTCAACCCTAAACCCCTAAACCACCTCAACCCTAAACTCTAAATCCCAAACACGAAAACCCCCTTCAGTTGTCCCCAGATTTTCCAAAATCCCGTAAGGGAAATACCTTAAACCATATTGTAGTGTTTAAGGTTTAGGGTTTAGGGTACTGAGGGATCCTGCTAAACCTTGAAGCAAATTCCTCAATCAGCGGGTCTTGGAAGATGTGGGTGGTTCATGTTGCCGATGCGCTTGGCTGTTGCGTTCGCAGCTCGCAGCTAAACCCTATAATCGGGCTCCTTCAGAGGGTTAAAAAACGTTCCTGTAAAGGGTAATGCAAGAGGTACTACCAGGAGTGCTATGAGGATTCTCATAAAGAGGTCTTCAAAACTAGGATAGGATGTCTTGGGGGATAGGGCTTATAGGGTTTAGGGACGATAAAGGGGATACGATCAGCAGTCATTCCAACCTGCCTTGCCCCAACGTACCAACACGGCTTCCGTACAGGGAATGACTATCCTGTTCTGCTTAAGTTTCAGCACTCCTCGTATAGACACTGCGGACACCAGGAAACCCCAACAACACCCAAAAACCTAGACCGTCAAACCAAAAGCCGCGAACCCCCAAGCCAAACTCCCGCTATCACACTAACTCTTACCTAGATTCTTTCAAGGATCCAAGAGATAGAACCCGTTCTCACAATGCACAAAAAGTAGCTTCAGCCCTGAGCCCCAAAACTAAACCGAGATACATGGGTGGTTGTCAAAATTATGGTCCCTTTTTGGGTCCTTATTACAAAACGGCACCGATTATTTAGGGTACCCCAAAAGAGACCATAATTTTGACAACTACCCACATTGAGGCCCCGACTGCGCCCAGCAGAAGCACTGGCACTGCGTAGATGAACGTCAGGCCGCCGATGCCTCCACCTGGGCGAAAGCGCGAGGGGTTCGAAGGGCGATGGTTTTGGCATGTTTTGGCTTTGAGAGGGAATGTATTAAGGGTTTAGCATGGGTTTATTAGGGTTTCATAAGGGCTATATGGGTTTGTAACTTTGTAGCTAGGGTTTTGCCGAACTTAGAGACACTGACGCTCCTGTTGGGACGTTATAACGGCGCTAACGGCCGATATCAGAACACCCCGAGCACTCCAAATAGCCCAAAGCAGATACCTCGGAAAGACTTTAGACTCAAAGGAAACATTATTCCACTGAAAGCTATCCGGTCTAAAAGTAAGTGAAGCTTTTGAGTGGTACGATTGCCACTATGCCCAAGAAAATCACAAGCATATGACGATTGACAAGACGGAGCAATGTAAGAACCCAATAGTGAAGCAGTG